CGCTTCATGATCCTCAAAAAGAGCAAGCCCATTCAGCTCCAATAGGAGAAAGGTGTGTAAACAGGAAATGGGTCTTACTTTAAACAACCAAACGTGGCGAGATTGTAAGTATCCTTAAACGGGACCGTCGGACAGAGGCTTAAAACCGGTCTATTGAACCTTTCTGACTTTGAAAACAGCGCCGAGAACGCGTGTCCTTTCAGAGGTGTTTGCGTTCTGATGCGGGACCGCTATGTACCTTCCCATAAGAGGATCCTGAAAGGAGTAGTACAACTTTCAATATTTATGCTTGCCTATGACAAATGATTAAACAGATCTCTAAACGGGAACTTGAACCCAGAGTTGATGTGAGTTTCAATAACCAAGAAGGGTTTGCTCTTTCCAGTGTCATCGCCCTTGCTGACCACAGCCTCTGCGTGATTGTAAGAATTCTACCGTACGCAGTTGCCCGGACAGACCTTGAGGTCGTGGGGTTAAGGGATGCCTCGAAAGGGAATGCTGCCCTCGTCAAGTCTTTAAGAAGGCTATGGATCTAGCTTTTATGTAAATGAAATACTTCTTCCAGTGAAGTCGAACTGAAGTAACTCAACCTGACTGACAAAGGTAACAGAGAAGAAATAAAAAAAAAAAAGTATTTTTTAAAGAACAATTCATGTTACATTTTAATGTCGTATTTAAAACGTAACCTTAATTTCTAAACATAAACCTCCCACTCACAAATCAACGAAACAAATGTTAATACTGAATTCTTGTAGCCATAAAACTTTGTTGCATCTGATGCACTGCTTGAAATTGGCAAGGCCGTAATTTTAGTAGTTCTGTAGCTCTATTAGCAGTTGTCACAGGCAACACTTCCTGTGTCCCGAAATTTTGTTACGAATCGGTGTATTGTCAGGACAAGCATTGCTAAATGCTTCAAGAACAGAATCGAATTATTTTTTTTAAAAAAATCACGTTTTGCTCCTGAATACACCATGTTCGCACCTGAACAACTTTTGCGCAACTGGAGTGAGCAGCGACCTAGCAACAACGGTGACCTTCATACGAGTGTAACGGAGGAGGTCCACTGGGGTGGCCCTCCTTACAGTTTAATATTTGCAAAATAATAGGTGATTTTTGTTTAGGTTTCAAAAGGTACACACTATTCCAATCTATTTATAACACTTTCTGCACTAATAATAATTTTTAATAATATTTCCTTCCATATATATATATATGTTGTTATATGCAGTAGACATAATAAGACTCACCACGTGGTTACTTTCCTCATATGAATGGCAATTCTCGATACTGATAGATGAATTTCTGTTGCCATGGAGTAATCTGCTGAAACATTAAGAGAGAATAATTTATAACATATTTTACATTATTCGTTAAGATTTTAATCAATCCTATGTCTTCATCTTTTTCAGAAAACCAAAATCTCTTCTAATCATAGCTTAATAAAAGGACTTCGCAGTGAAAAAGAATGAAACATGAAAATAAAGGTACGTGTTATGATAAGAATTCGATATTGCTTATTCAGACAGCTTACTACACTAATTAACATCAACCAATTAATAATTTGTCCTTTAATAATATTTGCTTTACCGAATCAAAATATTCAACGACTTTACCTTGTTAAAAGTAATTACACTATTAAATTAAACTATCATTAAGGACGTCAGACTATTGATGGTCATTTGTTGATAGTGTAACGGATGTACAATGTTTCCTGACAATCAGTACTTTAAAAATGCTAACAGCGATCAATTACGAGGACAGCTCAGTCACTACAGTTTCTAGGCTACGGGCTGGAAACCGGGGTTCGATTCCTGGTTGGCCACAACCTTCAGTCCCTAACGTTCAGAATCTGGGCTCTGGGGCCCACATATCCTGTAGTTCAATCGTACCGCTGTGGTACCGAGACTGAAGCTCACCTCACACCCCACCAGTGCCAAGGATAAGAATTTGAGGAGGTTAGCCTCCATTCTCCATACGCAGCATATGTCAACTCGAAAAACCGCTAAACCGAATTTGAACGTAATTTATACTAAGTATTTTCACTCAAAATTCCCAGAAAACAATTTTTACGGAAACTGGAACACAAAAATTAGAGCTTTACATGAAGACCTATACGATTTTCTGGGGATTCCCCAGGTAACAACTACGGTAAACTGAGTAACCTTGATATTACATACCAGTTGGAGTGACTGGTATGTGATATCAAGGTTACTCAGTTTACCGTAGTTGTTACCTGGGGAATCCCCAGCTAGCCATACAATCACGCGACGGTGTCCTCCGTCATAACGTCGTCACCAAACAAGATAATTCTTTCACACGGTGAAATCATTGATGACGTACATTTGACGCAACGAACACCTCTGATGACTAATTAGGGTATTTACAGTGGAAAGGTTACACGTTGAACAGTTAGAGATAATTTAACAAGCGAATAAGCCAAATTCTTATTTTGCATGTATACATTTTCTAACTTGTTAAGCCTGCGAAGTTATGTGGTGGCAGCACAATCATATTGCAACATGTAGTGCTTGAATACGTCGTGCTGTTTGGGTCACGTGCCCGAGAAAAATAACGAAATATTTTGAGGAATGGGAAACGAAGTAGCAGCTATTTCGATTAAGTTATAAAGACTCAAATAATATTAGTAGAATTTTGATAGTGTATTTAAAAAGAAGCAAAACGTAAATGTAGTAATCTGTTTTAAGGAAGAGTTTCAACGTTTTTTTTTCCCTATAAAGACAGTAAAACTATAAAAACCTAACCTAAAAGCTGGCCTAAAACCCAAGATTCAAAATCGAGATATTCACACTACAAAGCTCCATTACTGATCACCCGGCCTCAGCTTCTATTTCATACACATTTTGAATCCGAAGATTAACTGCAACTTTCAAATTTACCCGTCTTCAACATCCGTTACCATTCCTAAGCAGTCGACATGTTCCCATATTTCCAGCTTTTTTTTTTAACGTGAAGAATTCAATATACTTCCCTCTCAGCTCACTGACGATTAATTGATGTTTGATTACGTGTCGCAGCAACACGGGAAAGAGATAAATATGATGCAGAGCGTGGAAGAGACTCGTTGAAGAATGAGAGAGAACGACTCCCACATTCGTCAACATCGGTGGACGGCGAGTGCAGTGACTTTATCACCATTCGCCAATGGCAAAAAAACGACGTTGGTTCCCAAGACACTCGGTATAACCGTGCAGACTGCCTATTGCCAGTAAACAGGTATAACAGGTCGGAGGAATCAGCGTCCTTACATACGGGTCGCTCTGTTAATCCTAGGGAATGAGGCACATTGACACACGCAAACCGTCACCGTTTAGAACATTATAGATGCTGAAAAACATTACTGCCTCTCTTACGTACATATTCCTCTCAGGATAAAGAATAACGTAATATTTTGTCCAAGATCATAGTCCAACTCATGAAGCATTATACTTTTTTTAAATGACATTCTGCTCTGACTGACATCAACTTAATTTGACAACAAAATTAATATTATTTTTATCTTATCTTAAAAGACATGATTAAAAAATTATACTTTTTGTAGATTCAATGTCACTAAATTTATGTATATATCCAAACTTTTCAAAATATATAAATAAAATGTGCCGATCAACTGCCAGTTTCTAAAAGAATTAAGTTTAAAATTCCACATTCATGATTTTCTTTTATACGCATCGAAGTGTCATATCGTTGATTTAGGGATACAGTAAAAGTCCTATGGTCTTTATTTAATGAGGTCATTCTTAGTAAATTCTATTTGATTATGATGAAGATAAGTAAATTGGAAATAAGATAAAATGCTTAAAAACATCCTATGGAACTAAGACAAACGCAGATACGATATGATGAATTCATAGCCCTGATGACGGAGGCAGGCTGACCTCTGAAACGTGGGTTAACATCACCCAGACTACACAGCGTAACAACCCAGAAGACAGAAATCTTCATACTCATCGCCCTGATGACGGAGGCAGGCTGACCTCTGAAACGTGGGTTAACATCACCCAGACTACACAGCGTAACAACCCAGAAGACAGAAATCTTCATACTCATCGCCCTGATGACGGAGGCAGGCTGACCTCTGAAACGTGGGTTAACATCACCCAGACTACACAGCGTAACAACCCAGAAGACAGAAATCTTCATACTCATCGCCCTGATGACGGAGGCAGGCTGACCTCTGAAACGTTGGTGGAAATCTACCAGACTACACGGCGGAATAACCCCGAAGACATAAATCTTTAGTATTTATGTAGTATTTAAAACAATGCACTAATCAATGTGAAATGAAATTAACTTTTCGAAGAGAGTACTATGTTAAACTTTAGGAACAAAGAAATCTGGATTCTTCGTGTCTCTCGTTGAATCTTGCTCGGATTTATAACAAATAGTGCGCACAAAAAGCTCATTGTTTCTAAATTAAGTCTTACAGCTTAAATGGTAAAATCTTAAGAAGAAGGTGGGAGTCATAGTAGTAATAATATGAAATTCGGTCAAATTAGCGTAAGTCAATATATTAAATGCAAATAATTCCTAATCCTTATTTACTCAAACAAATCTGATTTTCGAAAACTGAATTAAGATGTTTTACTTTGGCGTTTTTTGACGATGGCGGTAGAGTCTGGTTTTATTTTAACCACAAGAATTTACTATGTCGTACAGTATAATGGAAGCAAACTATAGAGTTCAAATTAAAGTCTTCGTTTTTTCACGTCCTCAGGTAATTTTGAGAGCACTCAAGACAATATAAAATCATAAAAATTTAAATTTAATTTTAATATACCAACGACTTCATGAAATATATATTGAGTAAGTGAATGGGGAACTGAGACATACTTTCTTCTGGTGACGCTACATCAACTACCAGTACTGATTGTTTATTACTTCTTTAGTATCTTATTAACGTTCTCAGGGTTTTAATAATTTGCATTAAAACTGGCCACACAAAGAAGCAATTTTCTAGTACACTAAAATTAATTTAATACGCTTTGAAAATTTACATAGAACAGCACACCCTGTTCACAGATATTTTTAAAATGAAGATATGCAACTGAAGATTTCCATGTACAACGCGTGTTCTAGTAGAAATTTACTGATGCTTTAGGGGGTACTTACTTCTACCATCATCAGTGTGATGACTAAAATTCTACCAAACTACACTGCGCAACAACTTCGATTCCTGCTTTGGGAAGCTTAAAAATCTCTAAAGCAGTTGTCACGACTTGAATTTATTTTCCATTAACTCAAAACATGGAACTTTTAATTCAGCCCTGAAACGTTCTTATTTAAGAATGATTGCTTGATAACATTACATCGTAATTTTCAATTATAAAATAGTGTTTATCCACACATCTAATGCAAGAAATTAAGAAAATAATAACGCTTCTGTTAAATAAACAATGAAAGACACAACTCTGCAAAACATGCATTATGTTTCTTATTCATGACGTTATGATATTCAACAAAGATATGAAAACAACTTCTTCCTTCATCTATATTTGTTAGCCATTAGACTTTGTTTTAAGTAGCCTAAACCGTTAAGTAGCGTGCGTGTACCAACAACAGTTTTAAAGTTAATAACTAATATTAATTGAGGAAGGTTTCCTGAGGTTTAGGCAGGGGGGCTATAAAGCCCCGGAATACAAATTTAGAATGTTGTAAAATACAGAGCATACACAAATATCATGACTGAAAATCTGAAAAAAACTACTGAAAATTGTAACAGAGCATTAATTACCTATCATTATCTTAACTTTTCTGAGCGCAGTCCTATAATTCGTAATTTTTGTGTATCTAAATACTCAAATTTGTGGGAAGGAGAATAAACTTGAAAATATGAAATAATTTTAATATATAATTCTGTTCCTCCTTAATGCAATATTTACAAATACTCGTATAATTTATTTAAGAACCACGCATTGTTTTTAATTTAGTGAAACATAAGAACAAGTTGAAATTAGAAGTTCTCAGATAACGTTTCTACTGAACACGTATATCCTACAGATATTTATGTATCTATTTGCAAGTTGTGTTGTAAATTAGTCAGACGTCTTTCTAAGCTAAATAAAAAAAACACTAAATATATTTACTACAGTCTGGCATCATTTACAGAAGGCCAATCTTCAGTATTTTTAACGACAATCGCTGTCTGAAAATCTGTTGTCATATATTTGTTTTAAAAAGATTCTCCAGAACTTTCTGCGATTACATTTACTTAATATCTAATTAGGATTGACGTGTGTGACGCTAGTATTGCTAAAACTTAAAAATTAATCACTTGCAAAATAATCTGTCGGCTCGAAGCCATTGATATTTGTAACAGCTTCAGCATAAAGACGCTGTAGCGGAAGCTAAAGGACGTCTTTGCCGCTTGCGCGCTGTACCGCCAGTAGGAGACGCCTATTCTCGCAGACACCCCCCGCACCACACGGCGTCCATTTCCCGACGCCTTGCCCGACCGTCTCGCGTTAGATCACCATCAACACGGAATGGAAGCCAAAGTAAATGACTAGACAGAATATTAATTTAATTTAATTCCACAAACGTTATCAAGATAACTCTTTTGGGATGTACAGTTAATTCCCGAAACGTCATGTAAATAATGACGATAGCCAACCCATCAATCCGCAGCCTTACGCACACGTGAAACAAATACTTAATTTATCAAAAATTGTTAAACCGTAGAGTTAAAACTGGCATATAATGTCTTGTGTAATATTAACAAGTCTTTAAATTTTACGAAACATTGTACTATAAACAGCATAATGAGCCTATATTATTGTATAAAATTCAATCGGTTAATTCAGTATTTGTATTACAAGACAATTTATAATTTGATTTATTCCGTGAAATGAAATAGTAATTCTGTAATAAAAGGCAGGTTTTTATCATAAACAACACAAATTTTAATTTACAGTGCTGTTCAATTTTTTGCATTCATTATAAATTTAGGTCTACCGCAAAATATCTTAATAAATGTAAACGGAAAAAGAATTACGAACTTATAAGACTACATTCAAAATTCGTGAAGAATAACTTCTTAAAACTTGTAAGTTCATAAATATATTACGGAAGAATACAAATTATTTCCGATTTATATATTTTATTATTACTGTTAGAGTTAAGAAAGGAAAAAGAGAAGATGCAATTACGGAAGTTGGTACATAACTCTAACAGTAACTACAGTTGCTCTCAGTATAATAGTTTAAGATAAAATATATCCATGTTCTTTTCTATATTTAAAAGACAGAAATGTTATTTATTTTTCTACGCAATGTTCTATGTATATCTACGTATTATGTAAAACTTTTCGACGACAGTATAACGAAATTAAGACGTCCTTTTCGCTTATTAATTTATCATGTTACTGACACTAAAATATATCATATTTACTTCGTTCCCATAAAATTTCAAAATTCTTATTAATTTTTCAGTATGATTTGCTATAAAACTAATGGCACACCAAGAGAGTTACAAATTAATATTTGATCATAAAATCCGACTTTTAAATTGCCAGAAATTTAAACTGTTCAGAACACTTTTCATAATAATAGCTTTAGAACTCGCGGTCTATTATAAAAGAATCATTGACAAGCGTGTTAACGACGAAACACTTGCTGGCCACGTTCTGTCAATATTTTCCTTCTCGGTGTAAAGATCACTAACAATAAATAGAATCAAAAGTTTCAACCACAGTCTAATCGCTGTTAATTATTCGACACTGCGGTTTACCTCCATTGTAAATATCATTATTTAAAAAATATATTATTTTTATCAAATTATGACAATTATAATTAACAAATACATTGTATAAGCTTTGTTTACAGTAATAATATTTACAAAATCACTGTGGAGAAATTGATACATGCTCCTAAATAACTTCCAAAAACGAGTTCCTTTTAAGAAGAATGTTTCCATTTTCTGAAAGGGGAAAATATTCTCGCTGTCTGTTGTAAGCATTAAAATGAAACTTAGCGGGTTTAAAAAACCGGAGTAAATTGCTTGATTAGCTTATCAACTATTACTTTCTCAGGAGGGGCATTGACCGTTTTAGAGAGGTACCTACTAATGTTTTCAAGGTCTAAATTTTGAAGAGTTAATTTCAACATTGGCCAAACGTCCGAAGTAGTTAAGATATTATGATATAAATCGCATAATCTTCCGTATTAATAACAGTCAAACAATTATAAATTTAGATATAACACTGTGTTTCAGATGTACAACGCTGTTTCTCATTCGTACGATACTTCACATTTAATTTGAAGCAGATTTCACTTTGAATAAGAAGTTTCCAAATAATCTACGGAGCCAAAATATTTACTGCATTTTCGTAAACATTTGGAACGCCACTATGTCATTCTTTGTTATAAAACCCTTGTTAACTTCTAAACTACTTAGTTTAGTTTAATTTTCGAGTTCTGAGAAATTATTTTGTAACTACAACAAATTAATTCCTGGTGATGATAATGGTAATAATAGAAGTAATTTTATCAGAACTGAATTTTACAGCGTTATGAGAATAAATAACATTTTAAGGACTACAACTGTCTTTAAGTCAATTTTCTTTTGAGAAAATTGAAAAAAAAACGTGTTTTCATCGTACTTATTTTTCTCTTTCATAATTCTAACTAAATAGATAAATGGACCAGTGACAACAAATATTAGGTATATTTACATATAAATATATATAGGAAATTCAGTTTCTAATGCCGGAAAATGTTGAAGGCAATCACAAAGTTTTCTGGATTACTGTTAAAAATGTGTACAAATATTCAAAAAATTTCACTTTGTAGTAAATTTCTTTCAGCTATGATGTTCTCGTCTTAAAACAAATTGCTTGCGTTGCATTTTATTGCTGATAACTGTGTGTACACAAATTACAGATAAGGTACACATTTCATGTATCGACATAATTTCACAATCAGAAAACAAATAGCGATCAAGTACACTAGCTGGAAATCCCCTCAACATCAATGAAAATGAAAGAAGCCTTTGTAAGTACCGAAAATAAAATACAAATTATTTCCTAATTCGAATATAATTCCCAGGACATAAACTGTAGGCTGCCAAAATTTTTACTCATAACTTACTTTGTAAAAGAAAATGTATCATATTTAACCGGATAAGTTATTGCGTCGAATTTTATTGAACTTTCTGTATAGGGGTATTTAGCCAAATTTCAAGAACGTAGTATCATCGAATAAATCGGTCAAAATGCATGTAATGTTTGTGTTGCATTTTGCCAAAGCTGTGGATTACTTGAATAATATAACGCAGGTCTTATGTAACTGGAAGAGTTTATTTAATTTGCGACAACTAAATATTGTATTATATAAAGTTTTCGGAAAATTTGAAACAAGATTTGTTTTCGAAAAGAGAAAAATTGATTAATATTTAAACTGTAATATTTAATTCATACTTTCAAAATTTCTTTATGTTTCCTTCATATTACACTTACATATCATTACATATTTAAAAGCAAAATATTATTCAACCACCTTCTAACCAAATGTAGGCTTAATAAATAAATAGATAAAGGATTTAAATATATTTCAATTTCTGTAATTTTAAAATGACTTTCACCTGCCTCTTCAGAAATTTATGTGATCATTCTTCAATGTCCAATTAATTCGATTATAAAAATATTAAATATTTTGTATTCAAATGCCTACGACAAAAGCGAATATTTATAGTTTTTGATTCACTTTTAAAACATAAATTTGTCTAAGGAATCATTTGAAAAATATTTCAAACAGAAAAACAAGCAACTTTTACGGAACAATGCTATCAGCGGGATTGCTACATTGTTGCAATATAGAGTTTAGTTGTGAATTATTAATTTCTGTATTATTTTCAGTATACAAACGAATTAAATAATGTCAACTAATTAGGCTGCAAGTGGTGTTCTCTTACGACAGGAAAATAGCCCAAAATATGTCATAAGAACTGGACTTTTGCGTGAAAAAGTTATTTGTTCATAAATTGTTGTTTGTAGAGTAAGAACAGTATAGGAACTACTATATTGCTTTCATCACACTTACCAGCAACGCGTCTATTCCAAATGATATTTTTGCCATTAATAGCTCCAGGCTCCTTTTCTGTGTCTGAAAGCGTAAAGTAATACAAAACAATTACTAAAATTCATGTGTTCTCACCTGATTGAAAATCATAGACTGAAATATATTTATACACACAAAATATAAATATAAATTAAAGATTAAATGTCCGAAATTTATTACTAAGATGAATTAAATGTTCTGGTTTTTGAAACAATGTACATTATTAAAATGCTGTACTGAATAACCAAGTAAAGTCAGGCCATCCACATACTGGCATAATGAGAATGAAAATTACTTTTGTATATCGATAGATGCATTTAGAAAGAATTATATACATTACACTCAACATAATTCTGCAAATAACCATGACAAAATATCTATACACCAAATATTAAAAAAGAGGTTAATTCATTGTATTCTGTCCTGAATGGCTGAACCATGTTGACTGCAGAAGTATTTAAATTCTGCATTTGAAATGCCCATGCATACTTCAACATTATTCAACCAATTTCATGTTACGAAAACACATTTCCTGACTAGTTTAAATAAAACATAGAGAAAGGAAGTGGTCGTGGCATAATCTAAGACATTACTATTTTATTTTTCTGGAGAGAGGGAAAATACCTTAGTCTCAGAGCCAAGATCAAACTCCCCAGCTCCCAAATATACAAGCTTAAGATTTAAGAAATGTATCTCTTCATCAATTCTTGCAACAAATAACAACAAAAAGACCGACTGCAACCTACAAGACTGAAGTCTACTGATAATTACTCTCCTTTCAATGTGATGTTCAAGTTTTTTTCGCAGCTTTTTATATATTTAACAATAATATTTTGCCCCACCACTTTCAAAAAGCGTCTTGATACTTATTTAACTTCATTATTGTATATATTCCTATCTGAAATTATATATTCAAATCAGTTGTGCATTACTTTACTTTGAAAAGCGTTTATAATTAATAGTCACGCAGCCTAATGTAGAACACAACATCGTCAACGTTACCTGTCGTTGAGTATATTAGTGATAGTTTTACTGGATAAATGCTATCTCCATCTACTAATGCTAAATTTTTATTTTCATTACTATTAGTGTTCCTGCTATTATTATATAAATTGTGTCCCTTATTGAAATGTTGGAATTCGCTCTCCTTCTAGAAATTTAAAATTTTTCCTTTGTTTACTGTTGGTTTTTCTAGCTAAAAGTAGTCTCTGTGACGGATATGCATCAGCCTCAAATACCCAGATGTTTACATATTTACAAAAAATTTGGCAATATCTAATCATATTTTGAAATAAGGATTTCTGTGTTAGTAACCTTATAAATCAAACGTTGTCTGCGTAGCATAATTATTTAATATTTATTATGAATTTCATTTTATGGACTTAAATTAGTTTTGTTTTTCCCTTTGTTTTCTGTACTCCGTGTCATTTAGTATTCTTGTGCTGAGCCTTTAATTGGCTCCTATAGCTACTGAGTCAACAAATTAAATAAAGAATTTAATTATTATTATCGTCATTAACATCTTTCAGTGTTTGTTGTATAAATTAACTGTAATTTTTACGTAACTTCAAGTAATGTGCTGATATGCAATCAAATTTTTAAAAATTTAAACTTTTAAAGAGTTCAGTCCGGCATTTACATGATATATTGTTTCATAACCTACAAGGCTTTGAATATTAATAATCTTCATGAATTTCTCAACTGAATGAATTCAATTGAAATAAGTATCATTATAAATTCAACAACTCTTTACATATTAACACCTCGGAGTAAACAAAAAATAATATTCTATAAGAAGATATTATTAATACGCGGAAATAAACCTTAATAAAAATTCCTGTAAGTTTGTTTCGTTTGTATAATAATCTAGTCTGTTAATATCACCATTAAATATAATACTCTATATGTGCTTAGCGATCCAAAGTAATCAATTTCTAATACTTTGGCCCAAAGTACGATACTGTAGTTTAATTTATTTATTAAACAATTGTTTAGAAACACAAGTTGAAGACAATTAGGAGGAAGTGGACAATATGGACTGTAATGTTATATTAAGCTACCGAATTCTAATCAGCAATGGACAGAAGGAACAATCATGAAGCCTCGTTTGTAAATGAAGAATTTAAAACGAAAATATGTTTTTTTGGATCGGATAAAGAATTAGACCAACATGAAAAAGTGTTACGGAAAGTGTATAGCCGAAGCTTGATGGAGTGCAAACGCCAGTGAGAGATACATGTCGGTGTCATTTGTTAATCTTAATCTTGATATTTGGCTGGCTAGCAGTTGGCAATGACTGAAGTCATTCAAAGCGGGTGTCCTGAAGATGCTAATGTTGGCATTAGCGTGAATGCGGGACCTTAATGTTCAATAGCCTATGTAGAGACTATAGAGCTATTTCTCTTTGCATTGCACTGAACATTCAGTGCACCAAAAAGTACTTTACAGATAATTCATGCAGTGAAAGTTCCAGAGGCTCTTTTTCTCCTTCTCCCCAAATATCCCCTGAGCCCCTTACCCAAACCATCCCCCGCGTTCAAGGGAGGCCTTGGAAAATTGTACTTGGTTTCCCCGCCCCCAGGAGCCTCTTCGTTCGTTGGTTAGTAGCGTTGGATGTTATTTTTTCCCCGTGTCTTTTAGGTAGGCACTCTAATGCCTGTGCTCCATGAAAACACGTGGATTGAAAAGTTTTTGGGGTGTGGTTTGTCTGCATGCTCTGCGGGGGTGGGGATCTAACTGCAGTTTTGTACGCAGGACCCTACTTTCTGTCTCTCTCTTCAAGCAGTTGGACGCCATTACCGTAGGAGGTTGCGCGCATTGTGGCCTGCCCTCAACAGATCAATGACTTACAACGCTTTTCCAAAAACACAAGAGTTTTCCAGCGCTAAAATCCCTTGTGGGGTGAAAGAGTGACAGAGAAAGAATGACAAGGGCGGAGCTTCTAGACCAACCCCCCCTAAAGTCCTCGAAAAAGAGACGTAAGCACCTCCCATTTCTAGAAGAATTAATTCGTCCCGGAGAACCTCCCACACCGTCCCCCTCAGTTTCCGCGGGATGGAAGCCATAGTGATGAGAGAGAAAAAGCTTTCGACCACACCCAGCAGACCCGATGACAGAGTATACATCATAAAACACATAGGGAAGGTTCCCTCTCTGGCACGTTTGAATTACGACACTGGCTGCATCACAAATAGTCATAAAAAAAGCTTGATTACTCATTAGTTTGGAGGAGGCGTCAAACCCAGAAGAGAACAGGGACTGGATAGGCGGTAGCTCACGGGGGACTTCCATCTTTCCACGCTCTCATTCTCTCACTCTTGTTGCGTTGCGTTTTGGCTCTAGGTAAAAAAAAGGAGAAGAGAATAAAAGGAAAATCTACCATACAGACATACTTCAATTGGTGTGCGACCAAATGAAAATGCAGGCATATCATCATCAGAGCCGGTCGAAATGAAGAAAATTTTCGATGTTGAGGAAAGACCTCTACCCCCATTCTACTTCGGCCCCACCCTGACTGCAGAGAGAGAGTGTAATTATAACAATATTATACCTTTTCATCAATCATCGGTCACACGCACAACCACTTGAATCTGCCGTTTGAAGTTGCATCGGTTGAGGCAGTCAACGGACGGGACTTTCCTACTTCCATAGTTGCACGACCTGAGCGGGGAGGGAGGAGATGCAAAACTGAATACTCACTTGTTCGACATTTTTACTGCCAATATTTCAAGAGCACTGTCGTTTTTTCCTATACATCTTCTGCGCACGCATGTTGTATTGGCGCACCGCGTGGTCGTGTTTGCATCGGAGAACTGACCGCGGCAAAATTTAAAAAAAAATAAAAAAAAGTCATGAAGACAGCACATGTTTAACAAAGACTTGTGCCGAATCGGACACGCCTATTATGAAAGTTCTTAATAATAACTCACGACTGTCAATGTGCAATTGAAAATATTTGGTGAAAATTGCCACATAAAAACTTCCATACGGGAGACGATTATATTTTCCTATTACGTGTATTATTCTATATACTCTGAATTTGCGTTATTTATAACTCTAGTATCTATGTTACGGACGGTGCAGAAATATGCTGCAGATCTGTGATTAAGAGATACTTGCAAGTTCAAACTGTGGTTTGTAGAATGAGGGCTTATATTAATTATAAACTTTTCATTCCAGTTTCCACTGTCAGATGAGACTGCTTTATATTCGCCCCCTGCCACCTTTGTCTGACACGAGATTTGAAAAACGGGTGATGATCCTCATGAAAGTTTGTCGTAACCTTGCTAGGTATTGTAAACAACGGTTTCCAATCTAACGTACTGCTACTAGAAGAACGTATGAGACATTTATAGGAAACTATAGATTGAAAAAGACGTAATATCACCTCATTTTACTTGAAAAAAAAATATTGTAGCTCTTATAATTTTATAATTTAGATGATGGACAAAGTCTAAAGAACAGTTTTAATTTAAATACAGTTTATTTGGAGATTAAATTATGTTAATTTTGGTCTACTTAACAAAATCAGCATCAGATAATAAAGCAGGGCATATCGTTATCAATTATCGGGAAACTGAGAGATTAAATTATGTTCATTTTGGTCTACTTAACAAAATCAGCACTGCCCCGTCAGACACCAGGGAACAGATAATAAAGCAGGACATATCGTTATCAATTATCGGGAAACTGATAGGACTATTTAAACGTTCATTTCATCGATAAAGTAAATTGAAACTGCTCATGACCGGGTTTAAAATCGAAACGTCTTTTTGAAACTATCGATTGCTTGTAATAAGCTCATCAGATATAGTCAATTCACGGTGTCTCGATATTTTTCTATTGCTTTATTACTTTAGAAATCTCAAGGCCACTGCGCTTAACGATTCTCAAGCGCTATATATATTTTTACAAAATTCCAATCTCCTATATTGTAATAAAATCCTATTCTATTATATTCGCATATAAGCGTACTTTACAAATATAAATTGAAAATAACTTTAAACAGATTTCCTTGAATGTCGTCTCAAATAAAGTGATCAGAC